AGGGAGAAGCAGGCTCCCAAGGAGCAGGGAGCCCGATGCGGGACTCGATCCCAGGACCCTGGGATCATGACCTGAGCTGAAGGCAGATGCTTAACCATCTGAGCCACCCAGGCACCCGAGAAATGGAATTTTAAAGAGGGTGGTCAGGAAAGGACTCATTGAAAATGTAAAATCTTTTACCTTTTGAAGGAGTGAGCCAAACTGAAAATGTGGGAGGAACATACCAAGCAAAACACCAAATGCTAAGGTGAGTTGAGAGGAGGTATGTGACAGAAACAGTTAAGAGGGCCAGCATGGCCTGAGTAGGGGGTAGAATATTGGGAGAATACTGGGAGAAATGTCAGAGAAGTATTAGAATAAGATTATGTAGGGTCTTATAGGTCATTTTAAGGACTTCAACTTTTACTGTAAGGAAACAGGGAAATCACTGGAATATTTTGAGCAGAGGAGTGACCTGATGTGACCGACATTTTTAAAAAGATCATTCTTGCTGTTGTGATAAGAACAAAGGAGTAGGTCAGAGATCAGTTAGGAGGCTATGATAAGAGGCAAGAGATAATAATGGACTGAATCGGGCGCCTGGGTGGCTCAGTTGGTTAAGCGACTGCCTTCGGCTCAGGTCATGATGCTGGAGTCCCAGGATCAAGTCCTGCATCGGGCTCCCTGCTCAGCAGGGAGTCTGCTTCTCCCTCTGATCCTGCCCCCTCTCATGCTCTCTCTCTCTCTCAAATAAATAAAATCAAATCTTTAAAGAAAAAACAAAAACAATGGACTGAATCAAGATGACAACAGTATAGGTGGGGATAAATGACCAGATGGTGGGATTTGCTGACAGATTCTATTTGGGGTGGAGAGAAAGAAAGTGTCCAAAATGATCTAAGGTTTTTGACCTGAACAACTGGAAAGATGGAGCTCCTATCAAGTGGGATGGAGAAGTCTAAGAGAGGAGCAGATTTGGAGGAAGGTCAGGTGCCAAATTATGGACATAATCAAATTGAGGTGCTTATTAGACATCTCAAATAGTTATGTCAAATAAACAGTCAGCTATATGAATTTGGATTTCTTGGAAGAGATCCAGGAGGCTAAAGCTATAAATTAGAAAGTCAGCAAGTATAAAATGGTACTTAAAGCCTGAGAACTGGATGAGATCACCAATGGATTTTGTGCAGATAGAGAAGAGAACCAAAAAATAATCCTATAGCACTCTAACATTTAGAGGTAGCAATGGTAAACAGGAACCAGCAAAAGAAACTGAAAAGAAGCAACAAGTAAGTCAAGGTAATACCATGACAGTGTGCTGTCCAATAAGCCAAATGAAGGAAATGCACCAAGGAGGATGAAGTGATCAATTCAAATACTGCCAATGGATCAAGAAGAAGAAGGTTGAGAATGGGCCATTAGATTTAGCAATATGGGTCATCAATGAACTTGACAACACGCACACAGTAGTAGGAGGGTGAATGTGTGACTGGAATGGATTGAAGAAAGCAGAGAATCAAGCCTCAAGATATGACTACTAGTTTCCAGGAAATACAGGAGAGAAGAACATGCTAGATGACATCATGAGGATGCAAATAGCCAACTCCAGAATGTGGAAACTGATACAGGAAAAATGACCTTAAGGGCACCTGGGTGGCTCAGTCGGTTAAGTATCTGCCTTCAGCTCAGGTCATGATCCCAGGGTTCTGGGATCGAGTCCCATGTCAGGCTCCCTACTCCACCAGGAGCCTGCTTCTCCCTCTGCCTCTCTCTCTCTCTCATGAATAAATAAAAATCTTTTTTAAAAATGACCTTAAAAATACATATATGTATATATATACACACACACAAATACATTCATATGGCATGAGAAAAGGGTGGAGGGGAAACTGTTAGAGATGAAGAAAGACTTAAAGGACATACCAGCCAAACACAATGTGTTTAGAGCCTGATTTGAGCAAATCTATTATAAAAAGATGTTTCTGAGACAATATAGGAAATTTAAACTCTGATCATGTATTTAGATTTGTTGGATATTAAGTTTGTGTTGTGACTGTCATTTTTTACAGTCCTTATCTGTTAGAAATGTATGCTGGAGTATTTACAGTGAAATGATGTCTGGAACTTTATTTTTTTTATTTTATTTTTTAAAAAATTTTATTTATTTGACAGAAAGAGACACAGCGAGAGAGGGAACACAAGCAGGGGGAGTGGGAGAGGGAGAAGCAGGCTTCCCGCTGAGCAGGGAGCCCGATGTGGGGCTCGATCCCAGGACCCTGGGACCATGACCTGAGCCGAAGGCAGACGCCTAACGACTGAGCCGCCCAGGCGCCCCTGGAACTTTCTTTAAAACAGTCCAAAAGAGAAGGTGAATCAGTGAATCACTATGTTGTACACCTGAAACTAATGTAACGTTATGTGTCAACAATACTCAAATTTAAAAAAAGAAGAAAAAACAGTCCAGATGATTTAGGGAAGGAGGATGGATGAAATAAAATTGACAAAATGTTTATAATTGTTGAAACTGGGTGATGATATATGGAGGTCATTCTGCTGTCTCTCTACCCTTGCATATGTTTGAAATTTTTCAAAATAATTTTTTTAAAAAAGAAAATAAGATGAAAGTTAAATTCAAGAGGGGCGCCTGGGTGGCTCAGTTGTTTAAGCGACTGCCTTCGGCTCAGGTCATGATCCTGGAGTCCCAGGATCGAGTCCCGCATCGGGCTCCCTGCTCGGCAGGGAGTCTGCTTCTCCCTCTGACTCTCCCCCTCTCATGCTCTCTCTCTATCACTCTCTCCCTCAATAAATAAATAAAAAAATCTTTAAAAAAAAAAAGTTAAATTCAAGAAATACAGGTATCTCTTTCGGGCTTTTTTGCTTTTAAACAGGAACAGAGAGATGAAGTGATAGCAGGAAGAGAAGGAAGCTTGAAAGGGTTTTTTTCTTTAAATTTCAAGGTGGGGGTGCCTGCGTGGCTCAGATGGTTAAGCATCTGCCTTTGGCTCAGGTCATGATCCCCGGGTCCTGAGATGGAGCCCCGCATGGGGCTCCCTGCTTGGCGGGGAGCCTACTTCTCCCTCTCCCTCTACTGTTCCCCCTGCTTGTGCTCTCTTGCTCTCTGTCAAATAAATAAATAAAATCTTAAAACAAAAAATTCAAGGTGGAAGGATGTTTGGCTGGTTCGGTCAGTTAAGGTCTGCCTTCGGCTCAGGTCATGATCCCAGGGTCCTGGGATCAAGCCCCACGCTGGGCTTCCTGCTCAGTGGGGAGCCTGCTTCTCCCTCTGCCTGCCGTTCCCCCGGCTTGTTTGCTCTCTCTCTCTCCCTCTCTGACAAATTTCAATTTTAAGCAGAAATGACCATTCCAGGCCATTGAGTCTCAACTTCAAATGATCACTTAGGGACGAGGGGCCTTCTACCTTATTTCTCTTTCATGACCTAGGGCTTTTATTCTCCTCTAAATCCTAGAAACTGGGTAGCAGGCACACCATTTATCAGTTATCAGGAGGGGAAAAGAGAGTGTAAGGAGCAAGCATTGCCCCTTGTTTTAAGGGCCTAGCCTGCAGGCACCACACATTACTTAGGGTCATACTCTATTAGCAAAATTTTAGTCCTATGGCTACAGTTAAATGCAAGGAAGGCTGAGAAATGTGGTGTGTATGGTTAGCTCTCTGCTGAGCTACAATGCTCTGATTTTGGAAGAAAGGAGGATAGATTTTAGCAAATAATTAGAACTCCCTGCAAGGGAGTGATTCTAATAACTGACCAAGGGATTTAATGCTAGGTAACGAGGTTATGAGAGGATCTGAGGAGAAGGAGGCATAACCCATAACTGAAAGGTGATAGAGTCAAGGGACTATAGGTCTTGGCAGAACAAGAGGGCTGCTGGAGTCGGGGCTCTGGCGGGCATAGTGGTGGTAGTAGAGGGATGCCTGACACTGAGAATATGAAGGAGTTATTGTTAGATTATGCCAAGGTCTACAGCAGATTTCACAGGGAGTGACTGATAAAGGGTGAAAGACAAAATTACAGGAAGAAGAGGTCAAGGAACTAAGGCCAGGATATCTGAAAGCTGACCAAATGGATATTGAAATTACCTAGAATTATGTTAGGAGTACCAATGGAGAAAGTGACCATGAATCAGCTGCTAAACTCTTTGAGAAATAAGGGCAAGTGACAATAAGGGACAGTAGGTGGTATATCTGATGACATGCGATTCAAAGCAGGGGATTTGGGGGAGGAGGAGTTTGAAAATGGCAATGAGGAGCAAGAAGCACCCTCACTCTGTGGTCAGGTAGGATGCGGTAGAGATGGTAGAGATAAAGGCCACCACTAGAGAGGGCTACGCTGGAAGGAGTAATCTGGGGAGCTTCAGATTTCAGCTGGAGCAGGACAGTAAAGGGGACTTTTGCAGAAGAGGTTGAGAGTTGTAGGAAATTTGCTGCTGACAGAGCATAAGCTGAGGTTGAGTGGCAGGCAGAGGAAGAGGGAGAAGCAGACTCCCCGCTGAGCAAGGAGCCTGAAGCGGGTCTCGATCCCAGGGCCCTGGGATTATGACCTGAGCCGAAGGCAGACACTTAACGACTGAGCCACCCAGGTGCCCCAACAATTTTGTTTTTTATCATTAATGAGGTGACTTGTTGCTTTTGAGAAAAAAATAGCCAACATTTTCAGTTGCTTCTTCAATAGTCCCCTAAAAGTGATCACTGGGCCAAGCTGTTGGAAGAAGGCTGTGCACTGTTATAAAAAAAAAAATAACGAATCTTTTAAGCTTAAAATAGGGAATTTAGATCACAATTATTTATTACACTATTAAATTGGACATTACAGTGAGCACAGGGGATGCATTCTGAGAGTAGGGGAGGGTAGAAGAAGGGAGGAGAATGAGATTAAGAGCTATATGGGGATTGGAGTAAAGGAGGTGGAGGGTGACCTGGGAGTCTACTGGCTTCTTGCAGCGATGATGTGAACAGGGATAAAGGGATAATGTGATTAATCCTGATGGTTTCAGGGTAGATAATGTTAGCAAAGCTGTGCCTGTTGTTGGGTAGGGAGGACTGAGGCCTTTCTAGAAATTCTGAGACCACCTTTTTGCTCCTGCCACTGGGGGAAAAAGCTGGGGGAAGGAGTGGTGTGAATTCCTCCAAGACTAAGAAAAATAGCTGTCATGTAAAGGACTTCTCTCTCTTGAGGAAGGGCAGGGGTGTCCTCAGGCTTTTCTGGATGAAAGCTTCTGATGTTTTCTGGTGGCTCCTCAGCTTCACTTTGGGACCACACAGCAACTGGGAAGCCTGCAGGAGAAGCAGCAACAAGATCAGTTCTTCCCCACACTCCCCAGGCTCTGTTCATTAAGCTGTGGCAGGAGTCCTGGGTCAGGGGAACTTTCTGTCAGAATGAGTTCCTGCTGCCTAAGAAGTTTTATTCACTTTCAATTTCTAACTCCAGAACAGACAGGGTCTCTGCTGGTACAACCTCTCTAGTGCCTCAAAAATGTATGCTTCACCCCCTCCCCCACCCTACCCCTGCCCCAAGTTTGCCTTTTCCTAGCCCACGGCCATGTCTACTGACCTCCATGGCTCTGTCTACAAGGTAACAGGTAGGCAAAGGAGGATGGGAGCCATTTGCTGCGATGACATTCTTTCAGGCAACAGACTGAATGTGAGTGGTTGAAGTGACAGACAAAATGTACAGCAGGGCTCCTCTCAAAAATCCCTTCTCCACCCCTAACACCACTTAGTCTTTGGGTTTAAAATGTTCCTTATTTAGGGGTGCCTGGGTGGCTCAGTCGTTAAGTGTCTGCCTTCGGCTCAGGTCATGATCCCAGGGTCCTGGGATCGAGCCCGGCATCGGGCTCCCTGCTCAGCGGGAAGCCTGCTTCTCCCTCTCCCACTCCCCCTGCTTGTGTTCCCTCTCTCGCTGTCTCTCTCTGTCAAATAAATAAATAAAATCTTAAAAAAAAAATAAAATGTTCCTTATTTAAAAGACCAATTAGTCTGTGATGTTTAGGCAGCAGTCATCCTTTAAAAAAAAAAAGTTTAAATTATCCTTGATATTCAATAATGTTTCAGAAAACCTCATAAGTAGAAAAACTTTAGCATTTTTCTCAAAGTCTGAGGAAATCAGAAGCATATATTTATCTCCTCTGGGTCTCTGAGTGAATTCACAGTAGGAGAATTTTATCTAATATCTAGGTCATTTTGTCTCTTTAAAAATAATAATATATATAAATATATCGAATAGCTTGTCAAATCTGTCCTGTGGTATAACCAAGCCGTAATTTGTCATCCATTTTAAGGAATTATAATTCTTTTGAGGCCTTTCCTGGAATATCCCCAAATTCTTCCTGTTGCATTTCTAGTTTATGAATCAAGCCTTTCATTCCTTTATTTATTCAGCAAGTATTTCTTTCCTTAGAAACCATTCTAACAAAGCTTTAACCACTTAGGAGGTTAGAAGGGCAATCCATTCCCAATCCTGCGTGAGTTTATAATCTATTTGGAAGAGCAAGAGAAAAGGACAAGGAAAGAAAGAAGAGAGGGAGGACAAAGAAAGAAGGAATGCATTTAAAGAGGTCAAAGTGTTTGTGTTATCTTAAATTCAGAGGGAAATATGTGAAACCCATGAAAAGAAAACTAGAAAACCTTACTGTGGGATGTGAAACAAAGCTTGCATAAATGGAGAGACTTGTTGAGGTCCTAGATGAGAAAATTCGGTATTGGAGCAATATCAAATATGCCCAAATTAATCTAAGATTCAGTGCACTTCAGTAAATATACTAACCCCAAATTTTAAAACTTGACAAGTTGATCACAAAAATCTTTGGGAATAGTAAATATGAGCCAAAATAATTTTAAGAGAGAGGGACTGGCCCTTGACAGATCAAAATATCCTCTAAATCAATAATAATTACAGAGTATGATAATTAACTGGAAAGAAAAAAACAAATAGAAGAGAATAAAAAGTCCATTAAAAACAGTTGAGACTTAATGCTAACTTCCAACAAAGGGTTTTCCACAAGCTGGACACCAGTCTAATTTATGATGATAGAACACAGTGATTTTTAAAATAAAACTTGGATGGAAAACATTATAATGCTGTAACAAAACTCCTTGAATTCTCATCTCCTTATTTATGTAAATAAGGTTTCTCAGCATTTATAACTATAAAAACAAACAAAAAGCATAAATTAATGTTGAAACTGTCTCATTCTCACAGTGAGTAATCTTTATCCATAAGAGTGAACAAAATTGAATTAAGCTCCATCTGTCACTGAGAAATGCAATTATAACACAATTTAATTTTTTGTTTAAGAATTACAGATTTGTTGGGGTGCCTGGATGGCTCATTCAGTTGAGCGTCTGTGGCTCAGGTCATGGTTTCAGGGTCCTGGGATGGGGCCCTGAGTCAGGCTCAGCACTCAGTGTGGGGGAGTCTGCTTCTCCCTCTGACCCTCCCCCGATTCTTGCTCTCTCCTCTTAAATAAATCTTTAAAAAAAAGAATTAAAAATTTGTTATATTGATACATTTTGTACTACTAATAATTAAACTGATAGAGTATTTTAATATCTACAGCTTTAATTAATCCAGGAAATAAATTAATATCTTTTACAGAGTATAACAATCAAATAATCAAAGATTTTCAAATATAAATGTTGTTTAAATTTAAGATAAAATCACCTGGGGTGAGCCACTGATTCTTGGTTTTGGCTCAGCTCCTGATCACAGGGTCCTGGGATCAAGCCGCACATGGGCTCCGAGCTCAGCGGGAAGTCTGCTCAAGATTCTCTCTCTCCTTCTGCCCCTCCCCCCGCTCACTCTCTCTCTCCCTAAAATAAATAAGTCTTTAAAAAAAAAGATAAAATAACATGGAAGAATTGAAGTAGAAGTATTAGTTCAAGGTTATCAAAGAGTGATGCAAAAATTTCTGGCTATTAAAGAAGAGGTGCCACTTTGTTAGGACACTTAGATCTCATATGATATATGTTCTTTACACTGATGTAATATGGTTTAACTTTTTTTTTCCCAAAAAATGAAATGTAGTGATATTTAGCTCTCACTTACGCCTTGACTGGAAAACAACTGAGAAAGGTAGCTCAAACAATAAGCATTTAATCTGGGGTGGGAGGAACAGGAAGTGCAGGCTTGTTAAGTAAGCATTTGGTAGGCAGAGGGTTGCATGAAGGTGTCTTCCTACTACGTCTTGAAAAAGAAGAAGCTCAACAAGTAAATTCAGAAGGGGCTGAGAGAAGGACCGAGCCAAAAAGGAACGACAGAAAGGAAAATTTCAAACCGTTACTTAGGCCATCATTTCAGAAAATGTGTTCCCTGAAACATGAAGTTTCAAGATGTCAGCTGCTAGTTGTTAGGTGAAAACGATGAAAAACAATTTTTTTTCATAGTGATATTTTTCTTTTAAGATGCATCTTTAAAAAATCTACAAATGAGAAGGTTCCATATATATTGATGTAATTGTTTATGTGATTGTTCTACATTAATATGCCTCGGGGGAGTATAGCCGATCCAATGTCAGATTGATGAGTTCAGCTCACAGCTCAGCTGTTCACTGACTGTATACAGCTACGTAACTTTGTGGATCAATTTTCTTTTTAAACTTGGATTTTATTTTTTTAAGATTTGATTTATTTATTTGTCAGAGAAAGAGAGGTTGAGAGCGAGAGAGAGAGAGCACAAGCAGGGGGAGAGGCAGGCAGAGGAAGAGGGAGAAGCAGACACCCCGCTGAGCAAGGAGCCCGATGCGGGGCTCGATCCCAGGATGCTGGGATCATGACCTGAGCCGAAGGCAGACACCCAACTGACTGAGCCACCCAGGCTTCCCATGTATCAATTTTCTTGTCTGTAAAAAAGGAATAATAATAACACTTCCCTCATAGTGCTGTTGTCAGAGTTAAATGAGATACTACAAAGGAAAATGCTTTAGAACAAGGTCTGGGACACAGTAAATGCTATGGATGACCTTGCTATTATTTTTAAGAAATGGTGTGCCACACCTAAGAATATCAGAGATGACTTGATATATGAAGAAGGGACATTCGATATGCAAATTGGTGCATAATCAGCTCAAATAACTAATAATGGTCATGCTGTATGTTATTGGTCATACAACAAATATTAACTTGTTAGCTACTGGTTTGTGATGGTTTTTGTGATTTATCTTTTAAATATTTTATTCCTTTTATAGTCACTAAAATGAAAAGATTCATTTCTCTACCCTATTGTACAAAATTTAAAGAAAAACATAAAATTTAATTCCTTCTAGCAATTAATCTGAAGCCACATTTTGCTGTCTGGTTTAATCCAAATCACATCTCATGAATTTTTGTAATGTTTTATACAGAAAAATCCGTTTTTAAAAGGCTGAAAGCCTAAGTTTGAGGAAGGCTGGCTTTCACCATAAAATTACTAAATTTGTTAAAAATACAAGATTGTCAAAATACCTGCATTAAATTTTCTAGTTGGATGCTAGTGCCATTTATATGGTACTATTATAGCACTAAAGATAACACTGAATGACCATATATGGACATTTTTTTCAGCTGAATAAATTTAACTATAGATTTGGTCAACACCACCGGTAGGTACTAATGGATTTGTATTAACTTTTTCAAGCTACTAGATTTATATTCAATTCACTGCAGTAGTAATGCACTGGTATTTACTTTGGTAATATACTAAGCAATTGACTAAGAATTTTGCCAATGCTTTCAATACATATGCTTATGTAATGAGTTTTATAAAGTGTTTAATTCACTGTAACAATAATTAGCTATGCTTTGACCTTAAATAATTAATGGAATCTCAATTATTCTGGGAAGGAAAGGAGAAGGCAGACATAGAAGAGCAATTCTTAAACTCTTTTGGGTTTGAGGAATCAAAGAGAATCTAAAAATTATGGACTCCTTCCAAAAAACTGTACATTCTTATGAAACTTTATATATAATTTCAGGGGATCTGGGTGAGATTTCTCAAAGGATCACCCATGAACAATCTGCATCCAAATTTCATGAGGTTCTAGTTAGAAGTTCAGATTCCTGAGTCCCACTGCAGACTTACTGGATTGGAATCATAAGATCAAGCCCAGAAATAAGACTTTTAACAATAGTCACAGGTGAGACTATTTAAAAATAAACTATTTTTTACAGATTATTTGAGAAAGAGAGAGAGGAGGGGCAGAGGGAGAGGAAGAGAGAAACTTTAGCAGACTCTTCGCTGAGCTCCAAGCCTGATGCAGGACTTGATCTCAAGACCCTGAGGTCATGACCTGAGTGGAAACCAAGAGTCGGACACTTAGCCGACTGTGCCACTCAGAGGCCCCTAAACTATTTTTTTAAAGACTTTATTTTTAAGTAATCACACCCAATGTGGGGCTCAAATTCACAACCACAAGATCAAGAGTCACATGCTCTACCAACTGAGCCAGCTAGGCACCCACAAAAAAAACTATTTTTTGTCAAAGGAAAACACACACACACACACACACACAAATGCACATTCGTGTGTATCATTTTAAAAGTCAAATAGTACTGCAAGGCTTATGATAAAAGCCAGCAGTCTCCTACCCCACCCTTCCCCAGGCCCACTCCCAGCATGACAGGTTAACACACTCAACTTTTCTAGCTAATTTCAGATAATTTTCCTCCATATCTTTATAAACTTATGTCACTGCTCCTTGATTTGCCTGTTGACTTCCTGCCATTGTGAATAAATCCTAGAATATTGCTTCCTAACTCCATTTTTCTTCTTCTCACCCCAATTATATAAAATTTTTTTGTGAAATCAATGGTCAGCATTACATCACTGAAACTATATAAATATTGTTCACTGAGCCAAGTAATGCATTGCAATCACACCTCTTTTCCTGTATGAGCTTTCCATTTTTCTGAAGTTAATAATTGCCTCATTTTATCATTTGTTTGGTTTTCCATCTACCTATTGTTAATTTTTCCCCAATGTTCTGGCATCTCTGCCATATACTTATTAATAACATGTTCTTTTTGCCCAAAAACTTCTATTCCATTTTTCTGAGCTGCTCTGGGAGCCTTCTTCCCTCCTCCTCCTCTTTGGCCTGGCTGTTTTCTAGAAGTCCTGGGACATTCCTTCCTGCCACCTTACAACTTTCCCTGCTGCTTTTCTTTCTAGGATCTTCTCCTCTATCTTCCATTTTCATATTTTAATCCCCTATTCTGCTAAAATACATATTCCAGCTTCCCAAGAAAGAATGGAGGTATAATGTTTGAGACCTTATATATGTGAAAATTGTGTGTATTCTATGTTACTTGAGTTACAGTTTAGTTTCATAAAGGATTCTAGACTAAAAATAGTTTTTCCTCTGAATTTTTAAGGTAGTGCTTTATTGTCTTCTACCATCAAGAGTGGTTACCAGCAATTCCAATGCTATTCTGAGTCATTCCATTTTTTGTGATCAGCTTTTCTTCTCTGAAAGGTATTAGAATTCTTTTCCTTATCCAAGGTGTTCTGAAATGTAACGATGATATGCCTCGAAGTGGGTATTCAAAAAAATTCGTTGTTCTGGGTGAGTCCTATCTGGGAAATTTTCTTCTATTATTTCTCTAATGGTTTGTTCCCCTCTGTTTTCTCTGATCCTTTTTTTTTTTTTAAAGATTTTATTTATTTGATGGGGTGGGGTGAAGAGAGCACAAGCAGGGGGGGTGGGAGAGAGAGAAGCAGACTCCCCACTGAGCAGGGAGCCCGATGTGGGACTCGATCCAGGAACTCCAGGATCATGACCTGAGCCGAAGGTAGTCGCCTAACCAACTGAGCCACCCAGGCGCCCTTGTGGGCAATTTTTTAAACTGAAAAGCAATAGTGTCTTACTGACATTTTTACATTTAATTTGTTTAAAAACAAAAACAAAACACGTATCTGGTGCCTCATCTCACAGATTCTATGCGTAGAGTTGGAGATCAAGAAGACTATGGTCTAGGGATGCCTGAGAGGCTCAGTTGGTTAAGCATCTGCTTGCAGCTCAGTTCATGATCCCAAGGTCCCGGGATGGAACTCAGCATCTGGCTCCCTGCTCAGTGGGGAGCCTGCTTCTCTCTCTGCCTGCCTCACTCTCTCTCCCCAACAAATAAATAAATAAAATCTTTAAAAAAAAAAAAGAATTTGTAGGCTAGACTAAGAATTCATAGTGATGGTGTGGTCGGTTCTTGAAAAATACTCAGGGAAAATACAGCTGCCTGCATTTGTTGATGTATAAATGAATGCATATGTGGTCGATTCTCTTGGTTTTCTACCCAACAGTCACTTCCCCTACTCTGCACTTCTCTTTGTTAGAGCCTTGATTTTGTTCCAGTGACTTCACCCTTCCCACGTGTGATTTAGGCAATCTTTCCATTAGTCAAAGCTAATCATGGTAACGCCATATTTCCCTTGCCAATGATTAAAACCTGTAGAGCTTCTGAGAAAGTAAGACACATGGGAAGAGACCACCCCCATCATCTACTGGAAGCTGTTGCATCTGCACATAATCCCAGGAGCTTTGGTGACCATTTTGCTAGCAGCCTGAAGAAGAATCCAACACACAGAGGAAAGTAGAGCCAAAAGAAACCTAGAGAAGCAGAACCAGAACTCTGATGCAGCATGCTTGGACTATGACCTACCTTTGGATCTTTTGTTTTCTGAGAAAAAACATCCTTTATTGTTTACTCCAATTTGGGTTGGAGCTTCTGGTACTTGCAGCAAAAGGCATCCTCACTGATATAGTATGCTTTGTCTCAGGAAGGGGCTTTGGTGCAAGGGGCTGATGAGAGAAAAAGCAGTTGGTACTATTAAATGTTAGGCAAATTAGACAGACAAAATTCACACCTGGGGCAGGATTCTCTGCTGAACCAATCTGGTGATGCTCAGGCAAAAGGGCTTCAAGGTTAAACCAGGAAATTAGGAACAAAGTGTGAGCCCCATAAATGATCAGTTTCCTAATGGGGACTTATAACCGGTCGGCAGCGATCTCTTTTTCCAACCAAAGCAAATAAGTGGAAAAAGTTCAGGAAGTTTTCCTCATCTAGTGATTATTACAGAGAAATCTTTTGTGAGAGTCTAGAGCTTACATGCAGTAGGGACTGTGAACTTCATTCATTCATTGGCTCATTCATTCATTCAGTCAACAAATGTACTTTTGAGAAGATACCATGTGCCAGACATATTAGTCAACAAGACAGACATAGTCCCCTGAACTAAAGGAATATATTTGTCTAGTAGGAAACAAAGGTGTTATATATTTGTTTATTGCTTAATTATAAATTGTGATAAATATTTATTTATTTTTAAGATTTTATTTATTCATTTGACCGAGAGCAAGAGAGAGAGCATAAGCAGGGGGGAGCAGCAGGCAGGGGGAGAGAAAGAAGCAGACTCCCCGCTGAGCAGGGAGCCGGATGCGGTGCTCCATCCCAGGACCCCAGGATCATGACCTGAGTCCAAGGCAGAGGCTTAAATGACTGAGCCACCCAGGCACCCCTGATAAAGTGCTTTAAAGGAACAGAAAAGGGTGCTATGACAAACACTGGAGGGAAAAAGGGTCCTTAATTAAGAATGGAGACTGAGAGTCAGATAGTCAATGGGAGTAAGTGACAATAAATTGAGAACTGAAAGATAAATAATTATTCAGAGGGAGTTGTGAGCTGTGGGTGAGGCATTACTGGCAGAGGCCTGGTAGAAGAAATGAAAATACACCAGTGCGGCTGGAGGATAGTGAGGTGGGGGGGATGTAAGATAAGTTTGGAGAGGGAGGGAAGGACCTAACTATATGGAAGGTTATGTGAAGAATTTTGGCTTTTACTAAGTGCAGTGGGAAGCCACTGAAAAGTTCTAATCAAAGAAGTGACAAGAAACAGTTTATATTTTTAAATGATCCCTATGGCAGCTGCATGCAGAATAGATTTGAGATGGGGCAAGAAAGTAACCAATTACAACTATTGCAGGCAGGAGGTGATGCTGACTTGGACTAGGCGGGTGGCAACGGATGGGGAGAAAAATGGATGTGAGAAATATTTTGGATGAGGAGAGAAAGCAAAAGGTTCAGGATGCTTCCTAGGTTTCTGTTGTAAACAGATGTGTAAAGGCAGGTGTTATAAACGTGTAAAGAGGAAAAAGGCAAGAGAAGCAAGCTTTGGAACGAGAAACAATTGAGAGTTCAATATGGGATACCTGTCAGTTATCCAACTGGACACATCAAGTACATAGCCGGTTAGATCTAGAATGGAGGAGAGGATTGGAGGTAAAAGGTCAGGTATCATCAATATATAGATGGAATTTAAAGTCACAGGAATGGTTGAGTTTATCTAGGGAGAGGGAGAGTATGAATGAGGGGAGGAGAAGAAAAGCCCTGAGGAGTTCCATATTGTAAAGGATGGGGAGAAAAGGACCCTCCAGAAGAGGCTGAGGGAGTAGCTGGTCAGGTTGTTTAAAACTCGAAGAGGTCTATAGTACTTAAAACGAGGGTTTCAAAAAGGAAGAAGTGTCAATTATATTGATTGCAAAGAAGACAGGAAAATGTCCCTTGATTTTGGCACCATAGAGGTCACTGATTGCTATAGGAGATTATCAAGTGGATTTAGTTCTGCTGCATATATCAGAGAATCAGTTTACTGTGGATTAACCCTTGCACCATCAGAGTCCATTGGATCCAATTTTAGAGTTTGAGTATCTTTTCTGAGAGGTTCTAACTATCTATAAGGATGGATATTTCATGAGTTTTCTTAAACTGTTTTTTCCAAAAAACAAAAAGTAAATGTACTTAAAAAATGTAATAACTCATTCTGTTTTGCAATTACCATATTGGGTACATTGAAGTCTTTCATAATTTATGGGATCTTAGTGATCTTAATTTTCTTCAGCTTTAACCATTTTGCTATATTATCATTCTAGGAATTATTTCAACATTACTCAACAACTATTCCCAACTATGTTAGAGAAGACAAAATAATAAGAAAACAATTTGGAATTGCCTAGAAGGTTGATTCAATAGTAAAATAAATCATCACTATTACATGATTCTTCTATTATCTTATTGTATTGTCCAAAGCACTACATCATCTTTTAAGAAGGTATAAAAAAAATCTGGAGACATTATCTTCATAGTTTTTTATTAAACCTTTTATTAATCACTGATGAAATTTGAGAAATTTCATGTTTTGTTCCATAATGGCAAAGAAAACAAAACTGATAGAAGAAACCACTTCAAAAATATTAGAAAAATCAGAAAATAAATGCAGAAAGACACTAGACTTTAATGATGATGGTGAAATTTATCACACAAATGGAATACCAGATGATGAGTCTTTATTTACTTACTTTTTAAAGATTTTATTTGTTGTTTTTTTTAAGTAATCTCTACACCCAACATGGGGCTTGAACTCAAAACCCCGAGATCAAGAGTCGCATGCTCTACCAACTGAGCCAGCCAGGCAGCCCCAGATGATGAGTCTTTAGATGATGAAATCCTAAATTTTCTCAAACTCAAGAATTGATAATTCAACAATATATATTTAAAGATAAAAAGGAAATATGATATTCCTATCCATTCAACGGGAATGACTTCATTATTTAATATTTTGCAACAAGAACCCAAGCCATCCAAAAAAGATGTGATATATTTTGTCATCTTTTTTGATGTTTTGTGTCATATATGGTTGATACAGTTTACAAGCAAATAAATGCTAAAGGCAAGGTCTATGCAAAGGTGACTGGAAGGAAATCGTGATGTAGAGAGGAAAAATTCATTGAATGGCTAGTTCTTTTTTCTCCAGTTTTACTGAGATATAATTGACATACATTGTATAAGTTCAAGAAGTCTAATGTGTTTAAATTGCTAGTTCCAATTGTTGTTTATAAATCTAAATATGAAAATGTTTTACAGCTAAGAAGATGGCTATCTTCTTTTCAACAAGATTCCAAGCCACCTACATTTTCAAAAGTATTTTTGTTGATTCAAGTACAAGAAGCAGCAAAAGAATACACTAGCACATTAGAGATGTATTTTTAATTTGGAGTCAATATTTATGAGATGATTTTGTTCCTGGTTCATATACATTGACTGATCAACAGTTGTATTTAAAGGATATGGCCTGGGGTACCTGGCCTCAGTCAGCAGAGCGTGCAACTCTTGATCTCAGGGTTGAGCCCCATGATGGGCATAGGGATTACTTAAAAAAAAAGGACATGGCCCATTTAGGGTAATATTTCTCTAACTGCAGGAAAATATAGGATAAAAATTTGGATTTGCTATGTTTAAATTCTTTTTTTTTTAAAGATTCTATTTATTTATTTATTTATTTATTTATTTATTTATTTATTTGACAGAGAGAAAGACAGCGAGCACAAGCAGGGGGAGTGGCAGGCAGAGGGAGAGGGAGAAGCAGGCTCCTGGCTGAGCAAGGAGCCGAATGTGGGACTTGATCCCAGGACCCTGGGATCATGACCTGAGCTGAAGGCAGACAGTTAACCGACTGAGCCACCCAGGCGCCCCACTATGTTTAAATTCTTTTTTTTTTTTTTAAAGATTTTATTTATTTATTTGACAGAGAGAGAGACAGCGAGAGAGGGAACACAAGCAGGGAGAGTGGAAGAGGGAGAAGCAGGCTTCCCGCGGAGCAGGGAGCCCGATGCGGGGCTCGATCCCAGGACCCTGGGATCATGACCTGAGCCAAAGGCAGTCGCTTAACCAACTGAGCCACCCAGGCGCCCTATGTTTAAATTCTTATTAAAATTTATTTTAAAACTTTTTTACCACTATCCTTTATTCTTGCTTCTTATAAATGATTCACAAAATGACTTAAAAAATAAGGTGTCTGGGTGGCTCAATCGGTTAAGCGTCTGCCTTTGGCTCAGGTCACGATCCCAGGGACCTAGGATCAAGTCCCATGTCAGGTTCCCTACTCCACAAGGAGTCTGCTTCTCCCTCTGCCCCTTCCCCCACTGGTTCTCTCTCTCTCTCTTTCTAATAAAATCCAAAAAATTTTTTTTAAAAATATGAAAAAATAAAGCAGGTCCATTGATGATGATTGGTGTATTGAGAGTTAAACAAGCAGGGATCTGTTTCACATAACAAGCAATAGAGAACACAAAACTGGACCCTCTTATAGACTGCTTTTGGCTTCAGGTAATAGAAATATTATCTCATCAAATGGGGGAGGTCAGATTAGGGTAGACGTATTGTGGCTCAACAGTATTATCAAGACACAGCTTGCTTCCACCTCTCTGCTCTGCCATCTCCAGAACTAACTGGTTTCATGCCCAGGCTGCTAGTAAGATAGCTGTAGCATTACATGTAGACAAACAACATCCAAAGGAAGAAACAACCACCACCCACATCGCTCCTTATAGTTCTCTATTAACAGTGAGAAATCACTCCTTCTCTGGCTCCTTTCCTTCTTGCCTCCTTGGCTAGAATTGCCTCATGGGCTCATTCCTGAACCAATACCTTGCTAAAGCAATGGAATTACCCTCAGATCATTCAACTAGTTTGGGGATGTCAGTTTACCCAAGGCATGCTGGCCTAGGGGAGGGATGGGCACCTGAACAAAACTGGAGTTCTGTTAGGAAGCAGGGGTAGTAGATATTAGGTAGGCTACAGAGTGCAAGGCAGTCTAATCATACAAGTGAAACTCCTAAAGCAACTTCCAGAACATACATTAATTAACTGGAGAGAACTGTCACCAGGACTCAGAACAGAATAGGATAAGTAAGTTAGCCCTTTTACAATTCCTCCTTTCCCATTTTAAGTGTTATTCTGTCATCTCCCAAGAATTCTGGCTATTGTTTTACTCCCTTCTCCTCTTACCAGCTGCATACAGGAGCAGCTGGCTGCTAGATTTTCTAAGATGGAGTGAGATGAGGTGAATGAGATGTATGGAATTGGGAGACAAGCCACACGACAGTGCTGGAGACTGGGATGGGAGTATGACAACCGTCAGGAATGAGGTAGTGACCAATGGATGACAGGCAAAAGACAGGGTTTTTGAAGAGGCCTTGAACAGACAAGAAGAGAAATAATGAAACTGGGATAGGAAAGCTGTCTAGAGCTATCTCCTCACATTTTGCTGGTCAGGATTTTTACATGTTTTTAAAATTAAGAGCAAGAGGTGTGGCCAGAACCAGAATGAGGAAGAATGTGGTGTTGAGAGGAAGCAAAGGGAGAAAAGGGAGAGAAGGAAACCATTTCAGTTCCTTTTTTTCTCGCCTAACTGAAGTCTATCCTTAATAGTTTGAGATGCACACACTCCCTTTAGAGTTGCCCAGTGAAAATCAAAATTGAGGGTAAGGTCTGGGGCAGGCGGTTTTTGAATTGCCTCTTTTGGGTGATTCTGCACACTTGGACTGGGGCTGGAACTGAAATAGTCCTTGGAGGTGGTGGGACACAAGGGACACCATACCGCATTCATCTTCAGTGTGCAGTTAGAAAAGCTGTAGGCACAAGAGAATGCGCTTGTGTTGGAGAATAAAGGACAATTTCTGAGCAAGGATTGGGGAAAGGAGGGTGGTCAAGCGCCAGCCGTAACATGACCTGGGACCATGTCTTAATATAAGTCACAACAGATGAAGTCAATACCTGTTACACAGGATACTGACCAGTACCGGCAGTTCCATGAGGTAGATGCTACCAGTAAACAAAGAGAGATACCAACGTTGCAAATCAGGGTTCTGCGTACACTCCATTGCGCAAAACAAGGATTGCTTACTGGCATGAACACTTAATCCACCATTTTAACAGCATAAATCTGAAAGGAAAAAATGACTGAGTTTCAATTTCTACCACCTTTCCCTTACCTTTGTGAAATTTCAGCACATCATCATTCACAGCTAGTTTCCTACCAAAGCCAGAAAGAAGCATTTTTTGATTACTTATGTTCATGGAAATACATTTGCCTTTTTGAGTTTCCAAGAGCCCTCCTTTGAACAAGTGAGTCCAGGTGAGTCACTGTTCACTGCTCATGAAGGGGAAGCTAGGAGAGGGAGGGTTGGAATCTTCCTTTTATCTCTATTACTTCTCATCAGAAAAACTGAAGAGCTAACGCTATAAGGCAGATTAAGAAGCTGTTTTGAGTCTGGCACGTTCCTTCACCCCCACAGGCTGTTGGGAGAGTTCTACAGCAGAGGCTAAAGTTCTCATGGAGGCTGGGTGGGACTGGGTAGGAAAGCCGACTCATACCTTAACTCCTCCTTTCCCCAAATCAAATAATATCTATCTGCTGTTGACATCAGATTATTATGTGCCTTGACTGTTAAATATGTATTAGGAAAGCATTCTCTTGTTATGAAGTAGCTTCTCTTAATTTTCTAAATCTATGTAGTGAATTCCATGTGTTTTTTAATTTCAAAAGCAACTTTTTATATAACTACGGTATCGTGACCCAAGATGCTAAAGAGCAAATAATTCGACTAGACAGTTTAAATTAAAAAACAAAAAACGGAGAGATCTAATCTGGATATGGAAGAAACATGCCAATACCTTGGGTGTCGTGAGATTCGAACCAGTCCTGTGAAACAGCAACCTCCTGTATTAAAGCCTTTCCCCACCATGGGCTTTCCATACACGAGCACTTGCACCTGCACAAAGCGAGGACCCAAGTTCAGGGGCTTTGTCTCAAAAGAACAAAGATCGGCCCAGCTGCTCCCTCGCTTTCGAAAGAACGCAGCCACCTCCGGCACCCCTCGCCGCTCGCCGAGCTGCGCCCCTCCGGCAGCCCACCCCGGCCGCACGGCGCCCGCCCCCTCCTCTCGGGCCCCTTTAAGCGCCGCAGCCGCCCCGCCTCCGCTCCCCGCGTGCCGGGAGCACAGGGCCGCCCGATCCGGGCCTCGCCTCCCGCCGGGGTTACGTGAGCCCGGGGCGGACGGCCGCCGGGCCAATGGCCGCCGCCCGGGCGGCCGCGCTCCTCCCGCGCCGCCGCCGCCGCCGCCGCCGCCGCCGCGGGGCTGCGGGCTCCTCCCGCAGGAGATAACTGTCAGCGCGCGAGGCGGCGGCGGCGGGCCGGCTCAGTCATATGACCGGCCTCCGGCGGCCCCGACGCCGAGCAGAGTTACTCAGCCGCAGCGGCCCCTCGCTCCCACAAGGCTGGGCGGCCGCGCCGCCGCCGCCGCCGCGATGGCCCAGCCGCCGCCGCGGCCGCCGCCCCCGGCTGCGCGCTGAGCTGCCGGCCCCCCGAGCGCCACGGCCGGAGCTGCAGCGGCGGCGGCAGCAGCATCATGGCCCCGACCCTGCTCCAGAAGCTCTTTAACAAAAAGGGCAGCGGCAGCGGCGGCAGCTCCGCGTCGGCGTCTGCCCAGGGCAGGGCTTCCAAGGAAGGACCCGCGTTTAGGTGAGGGGGCGCCGGGAGGCGAGACCGGAGCGGGACCGGAGTTGGCTTCCGTGCCGGCCGGGGGAGGGAAGGAGAGGGGAGTGGGCCGCTCGGGACGTCGCAGCCCATCGCCGGCACCGGGTCCCGGGCTTGTCATCGTGGACGCGCCTGATCCGAGTGTGGCTCCGAACCTCTTTGGCCGGGAGGGTCCTTTGCTCCCTTCCCTTCCTCCCTCCCTCCTTTCCCCACTACTCAGGGTCCCTTCCTCCTTGCAGAGAGTTCTCTTGTGTTCCTTGGGATTCCCAAGGCGTGCGCTTGCTTGGCTGTGGAGGTGGGAGATTCGCGGTGGATTGGGGTGAACCCCTTCCAGCCAGAGCCGCCTGGGCGCCTCTGCGGGCGCTGCAAAGCTGTGAGCTGTCATTTTGAGGGCAGCTCCAACCTATTGTGTACGTGACAGTATTTAGAAGTTAGGAAGGAGCAACAGTCACGAAAAAGGCATCTTCCTTCTTTCTTGCCGTATATGACAGGCCCTCAGACGGATGAATGAAAGTATGTAATTGCCACATCATTTTGAAGGTTGACCGCCTGATGTATGGAAAAGGGGAGTAAGATGCTTTTATCAAATGGTTGAGTTTTTAATTTAACAACGCTCATGCATATATTTAATAGATCCGACCTTGTGAACACACACCTTTGAATAATAATTGCTAGTATTTATTGAGCGTTTACCAACTTAAATGGTTTATGTTGATTTCTTTCATTTTTTTCTTTAACAACCCTGTGAGGTAGGTGCTATTACAACTCCCATTTTACAGATGAGGAAACTTAAAGTCACAGAGAACTTAAACAACATGCCCAAGATCCACCGCAGTAAGTGGCAGAGCCTGCGTTTGGACCCAAGCAGTTTGATCATAGAATCCAGTCTTTGAAATCTCAATGTTACTCTGCTTTCAAGAGCTAACTTTTAGAAGGTGACTTAAAATGTCCTATGTTGCCTTTCAGCACACATATGTTGAGAAGTTTTATTTATGTACTTTTAACAGTTTTATTCAGCAAATTTTTAAATTGAGTATCTACTTCCAACTGTGACACAGTGCTACACATTTTTTGGCCAGAATGTCTTGCAAAAATAGTTTATTATTGAACAAGTCCAGAACCAGTATAATAAACCTTTTAAAAGTTTGAAGTGAAACTTTGAATAAATTTTGGATTAAGTTTTATAGTCTAGATTTTGCTTTTCTTGAATTCCATTCATTTAAAACATATTTCCTCACTGCTTATGTGAATATTAAATATCAGTATTTTGTGTTTGTGAGGTGTGTGTGGGTGTGTATGGGTGTGGTGTTGTTTGGAAGGTAAATTGTGAGGACTTTAAACTACCCTAGTTAAAGTCTCAGGTTTCCTTTAGACTAACTGGATCCTTATAATTTTAGTAGGGAATCCTATTCCTTTCACTGCTTTGAGTACTAGTGATGTTGTATTCCTTCTCAGAATGGTAGAATTACTTCAGACCCAGGGTGTGGAATTTCTTCTCTTCCCTCCCAGTAAACCAGACTTGATCAAGGGAACAAAGCCTGGAGAAAAAAGGGCATGTGTGTTACTGGTGTCTTTACTTTGGCAGCCCTTGTCAAGGACATTTAAAGCCATTTTAATGCTGGTGGAGATAGTGGAGTTAACTGTCATTGTTTCCTGTGCTCTCTGCCCAGTTGCCCACCACCATTTCCTCCATCCACAAGTTTAATTGAGTGTATTTTGAACAAAAAAAATGTGGCTATATTTAGGGCTTGGCCATATTAGGGCAATTGATTCCCACTTTGTGGGAACATTTTCAGTATAATGTCCTGACATCCCATTGGTGTATAATGAAGAACACAAAAGTATGCCAAGGACTGTTTTGTTTTTTTTTTTCTTGACCTCGTTAGGATTTTCTTCAAGTTTTTTGAGGTAGAGTGGGAGAATTGGAGCTGTCAGTTGAACATTTCACTTGCTGAGGCCCTTTAGCAGTGGCCCTGTTAGGGGTCACCATGGAAAAAGAAGTTAACTAGCACATGTCTGTGAAGATCCAGGAAGGTGGGGACAAGTCAACCAGTGCACACCAGATCAACAAAGGGTACCCAAGCAAGTCTTTCCTCCTGCTCTCTCCACCTAGTCTAACTCAGATGCAGTGTAGCTCTCCTGGGAAAAGTCTCCTAGAAAATTTCTTTTTCTTGCCCTTGTGCTTCATTTCATCCAGGTTTTACCAGATAGAAGCTGGCATGTGCTTTTTGGGGAAGTGGGTGCCTTATACAGGGGATTAGCTGCCCTTAGGAACCCACTTCATAGTTGAATAGATTTTGAGAAGTTAAAGTAAAACCCTTAGGTTAAAAATCTGGTATTCCTAACGTGAATTTATATTTTTCAGTGCATTTAAATACAGCACATAATTTGTGGATCTTGGGAATGAAGGTCTCCTGAGGAATCAGAGTTTTTGAGCAGTTTTGTAGCATATATTAACATATATTTTGGAGAAAAGCCTAAGTAAAAATAAGATCCAACTTTCTATATATTTTATAAATATATATATAATATATGGATATACATGTATACCCACACACACACACACATATATATATATGTTTGTTTTAGAGTTTGTGAAAGCCTTTTTATATCTCTTCTCTTTCTGTGATGGACTTTCACTAGTTTTTTTAAACTTTTCTCCAGTTCTCTGAAGTTTAGCCTTTGGTCACGTTTTGCCCTCTATGTTACTCTGTTTACTCTTGGGCACTTCCCTCGGTTTCTTACTGTTCCCTCTCACTCCTCCGGTTTTCACATACTATAGTTGATTAGAGAGGACTTTTTTTGTTCAATATAAGTAGCTTATCTCATAGGTCGTTTTCAGATCTTCATGCTTTCTGGTGTTCCATCTAAAAAGAGAACATCACAGTCAAGATTCCTTCTTTAGTGTATTTTGTTTGGGATCTCAACAAAAGCCCTTTCATTGCTTTGAGGAAAGAGACTTCTAGGAAAACAAAAGAAATCAAAAGAGATTGATTTTACATGTTTGGAAGAAGTAGTTAGGCACAGTATATGATTATGGTGTTTGTGAAGTGTAAGCTCTAAAGTTATAAAATTCTATCATGGTCTTGAAATTTGAGAGTAATCTCTCTTTGCTGGTCTTCAGAATACTTTCACTTTTAATTAGCTGATACATAAATATATATTTGAACAACCCTTTGTTCTAGAAGGATAAAGTAGAACAAAAAGAGGTGATTTGTCTAGTGGCTCAAGTCAGAAGTAAAATTGGGTTCCTGGTTACCTTGGATTTGAGGTCAGCATGTTCACATAGGAATTTTTAAAAAGCCAAGGTATGCCCATTGACTTGCATGTCTGGTTCAAGTTTGAGGTTTTATCTTATGGTGGTTTTTTTTTTTTTAATGTCTCTGTTAAAATAGTGGACCAGTCTTCATTTAAAATATATATGCGAGGGGCACCTGGGTGGCTCAGTCGTTAAGTGTCTGCCTTCGGCTCAGGTCATGATTCCAGGGTCCTGGGATCGAGCCCCGCAGCGGGCTCCTTGCTCAGCGGGAAGCCTGCTTCTCCCTCTCCCACTCCCCCTGCTTGTGTTCCCTCTCTCGCTGTGTCTCTCTCTGTCAAATAAAGAAATAAAATCTTTAAAAAATATATATATATATATATGCGACAGGGAGGTGAAAGGATCATAGGTAATCAAATACTTTATTTTGGATCAGTTAGATGAAGTGAGTAAGCTTATATATCACCTGGGATATGAGGAGTAAGTAGAAGCATTCCAGCTGCTTGGTAGCTAGCTGCATGAATGCTAGAAGTAGATTCCATTCCTTCTCCCCTCCCTCCAGTCCTGAATATCTAAGGCGGAATGGCCTAGTTAGTACTAATTCACCTTGTTCTGTTACAACAAATTGAAGTACTCTGTTACAGGGTTAGTGTAAGTATAACTTAATCTACTTATCATCGTTATCAGAGAGCATCTGATGCCCATGTGCTTGTGGCTTTGTGCTCCACCTGTACATATCAAGGTAGGACACATGGTCCTGCATTGGAGTTTGCAATCTAAAGGATAACAGATTATTTACCAAGATGAATAAACAGCAAAGTACACATTGGAAACTATAACAAGAAGATAATTGAAACAATGATAAAGAGTAAATCTTTCTATTAAGTACAGCATTAAGAACTCACTGTTCTTATGCTTCCTGTGACTGAGGGTAGGAGTATAAATTAGTCCCTTGGACAGAGGGAAATTACACAGAAGTGCTTTCTGCCCTCCCACTGCCAGCTCCCAGGACGTGCCCATTTCTAATGAGATTTTTCTGAAGTAGGGAGAATATTCTGGAGAAAAAACAGTGTAGTTTCACTACACTCATTTTTAATGCCTATAGCATCAGATGTGTGACACACGTGACATAAATAGCAGTTTTGATTTCTTTTTTTCTACTTTCTAAAAGTCTTCCTGGAGGTTTCCTTGCCTATGGTTTTGGATTTATTGGCATACTCATTACATCATACCTCCTTGGCCTGAAACATGCCGTACACCGTGGGGGGTTATTAGAGTTTTTTGGCAGAGGTAAAGAAAGGACTGTTGCAGCTAATGCTGTGGGTTCTGTTAAAAACACGTGGAAGACAAATTGAGGAGACTATTGATTTAGTCCTGCCTCAGTCACCATGTCGACATGGGCCTGAACAACTCTCTTCATTTCTCTGGTTCTCTGTTTTGTTGTTTGTAAAGTCACAGCACCGTCCTATGTCATGGGGTTACATAGGTGGTAAGGAGGTAATACAATGAGTTTGAAAATCTTTTCAAAAGAATCTAATGCAGTGCAAAATGATTTTAAGTATTACCAAGAGCCTTTTAAGTCATGGAGTTCAGTACTAGTCACATTGGGGCTTTATTAAAATTGAACCATTTTTCAGAGACTTGAGACAGAACTGAAGTGATATGTTTTTATTTATTTATTTATTTTTTAAACTTTGACGTTGTCAGTGGTGAAATAGAGACCTTAAGT